ATCTCTTTGTAATATTCGTTATCAATGCCTCAAAATAATTAAGTCAAGTGATGATGACTGGGTAAAACATACCGGCTTAGTAAATCGTGAATGCGAACGATTTAAACTATCATCAATGACGGAAGACCAGTTTAAGTGCCTTGTGATTGTGTGCAGCTTACAATTTCCCAAAGATGCTGATATAAGAACTAGATTCTTAAGTAAAATTGAGCAGTGCCCAAACATCTCGCTTCAAGAAATAACTGCAGAGTGTCAGAGATGAGTAAATTTGAAGCATGATACCTCAATGGTCGAAAAAAATAGCCGACCATTATATGTGCATGCTGTTAGTGAAAAGAAAGATTCCGGCTCACAAAAGCACAGACAACCAGCCCTCATCTCCAACGTCTTCCGTCTTCTTATTTTTGAACGGTGGGAGTCTAACGTTCAGCGCTGTCATTTGTACAGTGGTTTGGCGTTACTCATCATCAAAGTTCATTATTTTCTTTTCTGATTATAATGATTGAATCATAATAATTGAAATGGTGTATGTTCTAGAATGATAATGTAATCTGAAGAGAATTGTAATTCGGAAGTAGATTCACGTATTGATTACCAGTAATAATTTTTGAAAAAAGACATCCTTTTAATCGAATGATACACAACTAAAGTGTTCTATTAGAAATCTTAGAGTATAATAAGTATTATTTATAATTAAGTGACATTTTGTACAAAAAAAATTCTGTGAAAAAAAACGCGCCTGATGAAGATCACCAAATACAAATGAACACAGTGAAATGGGAGGGCGAGGATTGGCAAAGCAAGGGCTGCATTTCTACAATTGAAAAATATCTGGAACTCCAAACAACTCTCAACCAAAACCAAAATCACGATTTTCAATACAAATTTCAAGACAATTCTACTGTATGGAGCGGAAACATGGAGAACTACGAAAGGCATCATCCAGAAGATACAAGTGTTTATTAACAGTTGTCTACGCAAAATACTTCGGATTCGTTGGCCAGACACCATCAACAACAACGTACTGTGGGAGAGAACAAACCAGATTCCAGTGGAGGAGGAAATCAGGAAGAAGCGGTGGAAGTGGATAGGACACACACTACGAAAAGCACCTAACTGCGTCACGAGACAAGCCCTCACATGGAACCCTCAAGGCAAAAGGAAGAGAGGAAGGCCAAGGAACACATTATGCCGAGAAATAGGGAAAGATATGAGAGGAATGAACAAACATTTGACAGAACTGGAGAGGGAAGCCCAGGACAGAGTTGGTTGGAGAAAACAGGTGGGCGGCCTATGCTCCATTGGGGCAACAGGCGTAAGTAAGTAAGTAAGCAGTGGAATGGATTGACTATAGATTTGTGACTGGGACTCAATGATAAAGAAACAGAAACAATACAAATTTTTAATTAAATATAGTGAAATTATTATCAAATACGAAACATATATGAGCTAAATAAAACGTATTAATCATGAGAATAAGTAAAGAAATATGGTAAATTTGAAAAGTAGGCGACAGTGAACACGGGGAATATATCTCTTGGAGGTTAACAGAGATTAAAGCTGACAAGTAAAGATGCTAAGTGAGCTTTGTTTCCATTCTAAGATCAAATATAAGTCCAGAAGTTCTATTTGTCAACAAGTTTGTGTCATTTGGCTAGAGAATGAACGATGCATTTTGGTAGCGTTAAGTCTCTGAGCTAGATGGTTGATTGGTGGGGGGGGGGTTTCATTATCTTTCTAAAGATGTTCGGCGCTTAACACTTATATAGACTACTGAGTTGGAATTCAATAGTGTGCATGTGAAGTTCAATTTTGTCCAACAATTATCACATTGCCTGCAGTGGGAAACTGCCTCACAACCAACACGGAATGAATCCCACTGGCCACAGCTTCTCAATAGAACACCAGGAGTTACATCTTGAAGCTAATCACTGGTGAGAATATGATCGTTATGAGTATAGAGATCGTGGACAGTCTCATACTAGGAATAAACGACTGCCCAGTGCTTCAAGGTTTTCGGTGATGATCTAGTTAAAATCAGTTGAAACTATGAAAATAATCCATAAGTGTTATATCGGTTCATGCTAGTAATGAACTATCTTTACTTTTGGATTCATACTGACCATCTTTGGCAGTGGACCTCTGAACTTATGATTGACTGACCTCTTCTGCATGAGTTAACAGATTACGTCAATGTGTTTGTTGATTTCTAATTAATCTGAATGCTATACACTTCTACATAATATACTAAATAGAACCTTTTTTTTTATCATGCTTCAATAAATAAAAATCATTCATTTGTTAAAGTAAAACAAAATCCTCACTAATTAGAGCGTACATCCAATCTTGAAGAAAAAGGCCTAATATACTTGAAAGAGTGGGACAAACATATATAACGCATGAGTAACCAGCTATTCTGGCATTAAAATAATATTAATTTTAAATTAAAAAAATATAAATTACACAACTGGTGTGGTGCGTGCTACTTATAAGTAGTATATGACGCGAGTGTAAACGTAATATCTGGCAGCAGAAGATGGGGGAAGATGAAGAAAGGAAGAGTGGGAACACAATGGAATTTGTATGAAACGCATGAACAGTGAAACGTCAGACAATGGATTGTTGTTTTGCAACGAGAACAGTCCAGTTCGATATGATGGATTGAAGATTTGCAAATTAACGATATGGTTTTTCCTATTTTACCAATTAACTCTGTAATTTGCAATAAATACAATTCGGTTGCCCTCACTTGTGTTCTTCTTCACTACACTAGTACTTTCAAGTGACTAAAATTTGCTAAATTAAATATATTTCTATGAATGGTATCCTAGTACAGCAATTTTCGAAATACACATTCATTCATCAGTCAGTCAGTCAGATGCAACGTAGAACTTCGTACGTAAGTACATCAGTTCATGTCGCCATACCACATCAGCACAGAGATGTAATTGTCAATTCAAATCCAATAGTAGAAGAGGTAGTAAGGGTATTAGAAGTAATCGGAGAGGTTAGGATTAGAAGATATTATTCAAGAAGTATGATTTAATGAGAAAAGTTTAGAAAGTCAGAACTAGAGTTGTTGAAGAACCCAGAAGGCTAGGATTTGCGAGAACACAAAAAATAAATCTACCGGCGCCATTGCGAACGATTTTGAGCCATGTCATTCAAGGTCTCTAACCATCGATTATTATCATCTCGCGGACCCCAACCAGGTAGTCTACAACTACCGAAAAAAAAAAAAAAAAAAAACAATGACTTCATGGGTTTCTGCCATGTTTTGATTTGGCCGCCCCTAGCTTTCTTCCAACCTATTCCTACACTACGAAACAAAGCTCGACGAGGCAGTCGGTGGTTTGGCATGCGCAGCACATGTCCCAACCACCTCAACTGGTGAAGTTTCAATACTTCATCTATTGATTTGCCATTCTTACCTAGCCCCCGTGTCCTAATGACAGCGTCGCTCACTCGAGTGTCCCAGGATATACGAGCAATGCTTCGAAGACATCTATGATCGGAAACCAATAACCGACGAGTATCTTCAACTCTCACTGGCAATGTGTCACAGCCATAAAGTAAGACGGAGCGAACTACTAAGCAGTACACTGGTTCTATAGTCAGCAAACGGATATATCGCCTACGCCATAAGTGACGCAGGTTGGCAAAAGGCAATCGAGCCTTTTGTATCCGCGCTGAGATTTCGTCAGTCACCAGGCTATCAGCACTGATGAGACTTTACAGATAAGTGAAATGATCAACACGTTCGACTATTTCACTCCCTATCACTAGTTCAGGTGCCGATGCAACCCAGTGTTGAAGCAACATTTTGCATTTCGAGGGGGAAAACCGCATCCCGAACATGCTTGCATTGTTGCTTAGGGTGGTCAGAAGACTCTGCATTTTGTCAGCGTCTTCACCAAGTAGGACTATGTCATCGGCATATTCTAAGTCAATAAGCGAGCCACCTGGTAAAAGGTCTACTCCTGAAAATTCAGACGAGGATAAGGTTATTTTGAGGAGCATGTCTATGATAAAATTAAACAAGAATGGAGAAAGTGGACATCCCTAAAAAAAAAAAAAAAAAAAAAAGAATTCTGGTGAGAGTTCGCCATAAGCCCTCACTCGACCGATGGTGTTCGAGTAAAGAGCTTGTATAAGGTTAATGTACTTATTTGGTACACCTTTCAATGACAGACACTGCCACAGAAAAAAAAAAAAAACCGAGTCAAATGCCGCTTTTAGGTCCGGGAACACTACTATTGTAGGACGCCTAAATGTGTGACTATGTTCCAGGACCTGTCGTAGTGTGACGACGTGGTCTATACAGCCACGTCCTGGTCGAAAACCAGCCTGGTTTTCTTGAGTTTGCTCTTCACGAGCTTTCGTTAGGCGCCGAAGTATTGTTGAGTCCAATATTTTAGATACTATATTAGTTAGACTTATTCCCCTGTGATTGTCACAAGAAAACTTTTGTCCTTTCTTATAGATTGGGACAATCAGTGATTGAGACCAGTCGGATGGGATTACGTCCAGTTCCCAGATTCTACCTAAGATCTCGGTCAACCTAGTTGCTAAAACTGGACCACTATCCTTAAATATCTCAGGGGTCAGTCTATCAGGACCTGCAGCTCGCCCTCGCTTCAGACTTCCTAACGATTTCTCAACTTCATGATGATCAGGGGGACTTAAGTCGACTTGCCATTCAGGATGACTGGAGATCGTAGGTAACCGAAGAGTGGCTCGAGGCCAGTTGAACTGGCCTATTGGTCCAGTCTCTTGGATTGAGAATAAATAATAGTCCCATCCTATTCCGAGATAGTCTCACTTACACTAGGATTCCTAATACCAGTTTCCTTGATAAGTCGGAAAAGTTGTCTAGTGTTGCCTATCGCCGCTGCCTTTTCCATCGCTTTTGCTTTCGCCACCCACCACTGTTCGCGATCGTTACGTAGGCTTTTCATAAGTCTGCGCCTAAGTTGACTTCGTTCTTCATCACGTTCAGAGCCAGGTGGAATGAGTTTTCGGGTATCCATCAGATCGGTGGATGCTACAGAGATCCACGGCTTCATTCTAGCCTTATGGTCAACATTACTAGCAGATATCACTGCTGTTTCCACAGCCTTTTTGATATCATTCCATCCTGCTTCCGGATGGGAATCGCTTAAATGGTCGCCTAACTGTCTTTCTAGTTGTTCCTGAAATATATTCTTCGCCTTATTATCATTAAGTAAAACCCTAAGAGGCTTTCTTACGGTGTCTTTCCTACGCCCAGTAAGCTTCAAACAAATACGCTCTCGCACTAGAGCATGATCTGAATCCAAACATGTGCCCCAGAACGAGCGACAGTCCTCTATCGAACCCCTCCATCGGTGGCTGATGGCGATGTGATCTAGTTGAGTCCAACGTTGAGACGACTTTGGAGGTCGCCAGGTCAACAGATGCTTTTCCTTATGCCTAAAGTTAGTGTTTGCTAAGAATAGGCGGTTGTCTGAGCATACTTGCAACAGACGGTCACCATTGTCTGTTCTTTGAGCCGCGACACCATAACATCCACCTAGGTGTCTTTCATTTTCACTTAGTCTACCTACTTGAGCATTGAAGTCACCAGCCATTATTACTATATCAGAGCGCCTAGCTTTTTGGAGGAGGTCCGAAAGCTTTCTGTAAAACTCATCCTTAACCTCGTCTGAACTGCATTCAGTGGGGGCATAGGCAGATACGATGAAGAGGCAACGGCGATTGTCCCTATCTTTCCGAGTCCTTACTGTCCCGTTTAGTCGGACAGCGCACAACCGACTATCTATTGGGATCCAGTCAAGGAGAGATTGTTCTGCCCTACGACTCAATGCTATGCCTACGCCAGCAAGACCCCGGGAAGCAGCATCAGGGCTACCGGATACACGAAGAGTAAATCGATCGGCTTCTTCGTTTTGACAAGGTGAAATCAGATTAATAATTTTACTAGGATCCTGTATGCGCGTTTCCGAGACACAGCATACATCGATGGCACGAGATTCTAAAGTCCTAGTTAATGATGCCTGTTGCCCTATTTGACACAATGTCCGTACATTAAATGCTCCAACATGTAGTCTAGAACGGGGTTTAAGGAGACCAGGAACGACGTTTCGCGAACTCGTGTCGTCTGCATTAGCTGTGCACTGTGATAAATGAATGTGAGAAGAGTTAGTCGTGGAGATAAGAGAGGTACTAGGGGGTGTAGGAAGGATTTGATTTCGACCAATTTGGTCTCTCGTGCTGTTATGGGTATGAGGGAGGTTGTCACTTCCCGGCTGCCCACACCGTGGAAGGTTGTTTCTTGAGGGGCCTGAAAAGGAAGATAGATGAGTGTTGGTCCGTGACCGCAGAGCCCAAGGGACAACTGCTTGAGGCCGGTCACGCACGGCCTTTTTATGAAATGTTTTTTGAGGATTAGCTCCGTTCTTAAAGGCCCTTAGTGGGCACCCTTACCCAAGGAGACGGAAATCCGTGAGTTAGGGGAGGTGTGACATTTTTAGGGTCGACCATTTCTAACCCTTCCTTCCTTGTGAGAAGGTAGCATCGCTGCAGATGCTGGTTGTCCGAGGGAAACACCTTACTGCTGTCATACCCCTCTGCAGTCAGCAGTAGAACTTTGTCCTTAGACCTTGATTAGCTGCTTTTAGTCTCACCGTTCTCCAATCGACCTGCCTGGCATGGTAGGACCTACAGGAACATATGTTCCAGCCACTATAGCTCGGTTGGGTCATCACGATAGGCAAGCCCGACCACCACGTCAAGGTAGCAGCTTCGGTCGGGATTCATTCATCATGATGGAATGGTAAATAGAATTGGTTTTTTTTATATCTCATATTTAGCTTTACTTTTTTTAATATCATAACTTACAAATTAATCGATCTTGATCAACATATAGTACATATGTATTGGCATTTAACGAATTTCGTACCACTGACTGATGCTGCACAACCGTTGGAAACATTTCGCATCCTAGTGTAGAACACATTACGGGATATGCATATTCGATCACGTCAAGAATTGAATCCAGTACCTCAAGGTCTAGCAGTAAGTACTTAAAACGTATAGGCATTCAATTGTCTACATATCTAAGATTAATCAATTCGCTACAATTCACAACCATCTTTCAATATCAATGCTGAATAACTTCTTCAGCTAGCTTTAAATCAATTTTTTTTCTTCAATAAAAAAATGTTTACAGGATTTCTTCAGATTATAGTCTCTTATTTATTTACTAATGCGCTTTTATTTTACAATATGGGGGAAGTATTATATCGCCAGTCTTGACAACATTGTTACCAAGACTAAATAAAGCTTGCTTTTTTTACACAGTATCAATAAAATCAATATAACAATGGAGTTCTTGAAAAAATTAATTCTCAATGAAAAAAATATCATCATCATCTCAATTTCATTTTCAGTGTATGAAAGTGTTTTCGTTTCAGTTATTTATTTGGATTCAATGAAGTTATTAAATTTTTGGTGTAAGATTTCAATTTCAATTTTTTCAAACAACAACTTCCATAAATGAACATTGATCACATCCAATGCATAACAGTGTGACAATATCTGTAGATTTATTCGGTAGTTCATTGACATCTGAATGATTAATTTGTGTATTAGTGGTATTCTGTTCAATGAGCCAAGCATGTAATGATGTATTGGGACAACCGGATGTTGTGTGCTTTGTTTCAGCATCGATTAAACTACATTTTATGGTGTTGAGATTGAGACTATCTGTCTAAAATTGAGAAAAAGAATAAAAGAAATTGTCAAAGGAAGGAAAAAAGCAGATTATTCAGTTGGTGTCCTTCTATTTATTTAAATCATTAGATGAAACGATCGACTGTCCAGTGCTTTCGAGTCTTCTGTAGCGATCTAGTTACGGTCAATTCGTGATAGTTTTGCTTGCTATCCTCATCACCTGCCTACATTTTATCATGGTTCTTTTTTGTATGTTAAGTATACTACTGACTGAAATTCAGTAATCATTTTCTAAAATAACTGAAATTTCCTCTACGTTAGGTGGCGGCAATTCTACATACCTTTGAACCTAAGTCCATTTTTTATTGTAACTGTGTACTATAGACATGTTGAATAATTCATTATCGTTTCTTATATGTTTGTTCACTGACAACTTTTGATTTGTAACAGTTCCTATAACTTGTATGTTGAGTTGTCGTCTAGATTTACTGATTGTTATCACTGGAAATAACACGGCTATGCTGACGACTGTTGTCTAGATCGTCCTTTGGTTTTTGTAAATAATTATTACATAACTAATGCACCAAACACTTTTTTGATTATACTTTGTAATACGTAAACGTTTTAAGTACTTAAAGAACCAAGGTTTTCAAAATCCATTGCTTACTTCGTCACAAACGGTAGCATTGTGTTCCTATTTCGATAATTTACATGTCAGTCGAACGTTTGATCTGAATACTCAAGCACGTTTAACGGTGATAATATCCTGTCGTGCACTGATTATTAGTGAAATTGAGGGGGTGCGTTATTTCTTAATTGGGAATTGTCAATTAGCTGTAAGTGGATCCTAGTTTTGATGCAGAGACTGACTTGTATTCAATACCGAATTCGAGTATCTGTCAGTCAGTCAGTTACAATGTAGAATTTCGTACGTAAGTACATCAGTTCATGTTGTCATATCGAGTGTTGAGGGTCTTTGCCTGAAAGATTCCCATCATCAACTGTAAAGCCCTTAGAGTATGCAGATAACACATCAATAATTGTTTGCACAAACGATTTGTGCAAATGGGTCCAAGCTGTTGTCTTTTGGGCTGTGAAACCACATTCCCAGATCGTCAAAACCAGTTTTTAACACAATGTTGGGAACCGTAGTTTGACAATTTATTTTTATACCTCTTTTAAAAATATACTCAACACATTACTGAATATACTAAATACATGACAGTGTCTACATACTTGAGTATCTAAATTTAAACTGCACGAAGAACAAGTGAGAATTGTATTATCCATTGATAGATAACCACTAATAAAAGAAGGGAAAAATCGAGAAAAAAATTATAGTTATAATCCAGTCATTTTTTAAAATGTTTCTGTGGTCCTCGTTTGTTTAATTATTGGCTTACTGATGTATACACTGATTTAATTGATCATGATTTTTCAAACGAAAACTAAGCCCGGTAATCACGTAGTTAGTATAGCTAGAAGTCGAATGAATGGTGTTATGTTCTTGTCATTTTTTCAAAGTTCCCCGTTGCCAATTTTATTAGGAAGACAGAATGTGAGACATCTCAACCTGTTTCTGTCGTCTTACCGTAGGTTCAGTGATGATTCATAAGACCTTAACCATATACTGAACAATGATTTCGGTATTAATACGTTTTAATATTTCGTTCAGCCTAAAACTGTTCATCAAAGAGGACATTCTAAGAGAATCCGAAAGCCGAGATCAATTGGTTTATGTTTTGTTAAGATATTCATCCAATATCCTAAGAGAATTATTGGTCAATTCCTATTGGTTAATTCCTACTGGTCAATATTATGGTCGTCCTAGCTATCAGTATCACGTACTTCAATGTTGTTTACCATTCGTCGTCCTGACTATCAATGTCACTTCAAATGTTGTTTCCTATACAACCTAACTGTATAAATAATGCGCATTATCTGTAACGCTTTATGACACGGACCTGGATCTGTAGTCCGGGATCCTGATTCCCTTCTGGACTCGGACCTCGTACTTTCTGGATGCTTGTAGAGTACTGGGTCTACTTCATATCAATTTTTCCACTTAACGCGGGTTGGGACACTCAGATTATAGTAGCATGTCGTGTCGCCGGATCCTCGCTCTCGTTTTCCGACTAGGTAAAGTCGTATTTGTTCAAGAATATCAAAATGACGTGTTTACGTGCAGGCGTAACAGTTTGAAGTTTAGGTTAACCATATTGAGTGATGAATTACTAAACACCTCTACCAGAACATGTAATATCGGCAGTTCTTGTTGATACATTCAAAGTGAGATTAAATCTTCAAAGTATTACAAATTGATTGACCAGCTCCTATCCTTGCTGCTGAAGAATAAAAGGTTTACACAATAGCTTTCCAACACTGACAGCATATTTAAAGAAACAAGATGGCTAGCATAAAGATTTCCATCTCATTTTCTATATTCAAAGATAAAATTATCAATTTCGAAATATTCTTGTGAGTAACGTAACAGCTTATAATAGTTTATTAAAAGTCTCATACTAGGAGGGAAGATTCCTCAACAGTGTGCATCTCAGACTACCAAACGCAGGGATTGGACTCAATACCTTCGGTCTTGGGAGCGAACGCTTAACCTCTAGAATATTGAATCAGTACCCAATGGTGTTAATTGTCAACATCAATCAATCCATGGTGTTGTACAACTTTTATCCATGACCTGTGGCAGATGAGTGTAGACAAACAAACTGGAAAATCCTTTAATTTTACATTACTAGTTAATGAATTGGTCTACGTTTTTTTCCGAAGCTGAAATAAGATTTGCATCAGTATTGATTAAAGAGGGGGGTGGGATTATCCATGTCGTTGATAATTACAATTGGATTCTGATCAAATCTTTGTTAGTATTCTATGTGAGTCAATCTTGATATAGTTATTTTGAAATAAGTTTTATAAAATAGGTGAATTGTGAGAAAAGTGGAATTCAGGATAAAAGTTTCGATTTATTTAGAATAACTCTTAGTCTAGTTACACTTCAGTTTCAGTTAATCCACAATGTAAGGTAAAGATCATTCATTATTATCAATAACAAATATTTTATACCCGATGTATTTATACTAACCAAGTTCACCTACTTATCCCGGAAACTTAACGAGCAAACTTTAAAATGAGGTAACACTAGTTTAAATGAAAGGCATCAACATTTATGATGAAAACAACTCATAAATTTTATTAATTGTCCATCAATTTTGTCTATGAGGGTCATCAGTTATAATCGTTTCTTTTAACCAGAAAGGTCCAAAGTTACTAAATCGAACATAATTCTAATAAGATTCAATTTATTTATTATAGAGTTATGGAGATTGTGGTTTTGGTTGAAATCATGAATCAATCATTGTTAAACCACCGTTAGAAACCTGGAAGCACTGAAAAGTAGTTTCTTCCTGTTATGGGACTCTTCAGCAAAGCACATCCACGACCCCCACTGGCGGGAATCGAACCCAATACCTTCAAGTCTCGCACGCGAACGCTTAACCTCTAGGGCACAGAGCCGGCACCCAACAGCGTTTATGTCCAACTTTGATCGACCTGAAGTTTTGTGCAACCTCATCCAATGTCTTCAGTAGTTACATCGTTGGATGCCAGCTCAGTGGTCTAACGGTTAAGCGTTCGTGAGCGAGACTGAAGGTCCTAGGTTCCATTACCGCGGGCGGAGGTCGTAGGTGTGTACTCTTGATGAGTCCGTACTAGGACAAAACGGACGTCTAGGGCTTTAAGGTTTCTAGTGGTGGTCTGACAATGGTCAGTAAATGATTTCAATCAAGATTCAATTTGCATTCACGATAACTTACATTCGACATAAAGGACAAAGAACCTGTTCACTGTTAGATTTGTTTGTTAAATGACATTGATTAACATCATAGGCATCATTCCAAAATTCTGGATTTAAATATTCTTCAATATCTAAGAAAAAGATAATCATAGAATATATTGTAAACCATGATGATAAAATTATTACAGTCATACAAATTAGCGCTTAGCTCTACACTGCAGATTGTAATTTATTCATCGCAAAAAAGTAAGATATATGTAACTAACGAATTCCTTGATGACTGACTGGTGGCCTAAAAGTTCAGTGATAACATCTCAAATCGTGAAGCCGGATGACACGGATTTAAATTCCATAAAGAGTACATCAGTTCGGCGAAGACTGTAAGTACGCCTTAATGACATACCAATCAGTACAAGACCTAGGTTCAAGGTTTCTTACCAACTACTGCCCAACATCTCAACATAATACATGCGACGTCACCTGGATTCAGGTGTTGGTGTTCAAATTCGGACTGGAGCTTAGTAACTCCCAATTCAAACGCTAATGTTTTATATTCACTGAGCCCAGATATCGACTACTTTATGCAAATAGACGAAATGTGCATTCTGAAATCCACTGTTAGCTACTAATTAACTTTACTAAAATTATATTACTAAATGGCGATTTAGATGGCATTCACTCAGGAAATACAACGTGTACTAAAATAAACTGACCAATGAAAATCCTTAACACCAACAACGGGAAACTAGAAAACCTTAGCAAGCAAGATGGTTGAATGAATTAAGCAAATAGTTCGAATTATTGTGGTGATTTACTGAGATATCAAAATTAATAGGATATAAGTAGCTTAACTCCGCCAGTAGAACCTCGGGGCTAATGCCGGTCCCAAGCCCGGATAAAGGAGGAGGGTTGGACATGGGGTTGGTGACCCCATTCCGTCAAAAACTAACTTGCCAAAAAAACGCTAACCAGAAAAAATATTTCAAACCATTTTAACTCTGCCATGGGAGTTGGAAGAAGAATTATGACGTCTCGTGATGAAAGCCGAATCCCCTCGGAAGTCACGGGGCCGATGCCTCTTCTGACAACCAGAGCAACCATTTTTTTAGGTACATGGAACGTTCGTACATTGTGGGAGACTGGAAGACTATTTCAAGTTGCGGCAGAAATGAAAAGATACAACCTCGAGGTGCTCGGCATCAGTGAAACACATTGGACACAGGTAGGACAACTGAGACTAACTTCAGGGGAACTGCTGTTATACTCTGGTCATGAAGTGGGAAATGCTTCACATACACAAGGAGTTGCACTGATGCTGTCCAAACATGCACAAAAGGCACTGATAGGACAGCAATCTCATGGACCCAGGATCATTAAAGCATCCTTCAAAACAAAGAAACAGGACATTACAATGAACGTCATCCAATGTTATGCACCTACCAATGACTACAATGACGACGTTAAAGATCAATTCTACAAAAGGCTGCAGTCAATCGTCGATAAATGTTCACCAAAGGATTTGACGATTCTTATGGGAGACCTAAATGCCAAGGTTGGAATGGAGAACACTGGATATGAAGACATCATGGGACGACATGGACTGGGAGAAAGGAACGAAAACGGTGAGAGATTTGCAAACCTATGTGCCTTCAACAAACTGGTCATCGGTGGCACAATATTCCCGCACAAACGCATTCACAAAGCCACATGGATTTCACCGGATCACACTACTCAAAACCAAATTGACCATATCTGTATCAACAAAAAGTTCAGAAGGACCATGGAGGATGTGAGAACCAAGAGAGGAGCTGATATAGCTTCAGATCACCACTTGCTGATCGCCAAAATGAGATTGAAGCTAAAGAAGCACTGGACAACGGGGCAGACAACATCACAGAAGTTTAATACAGCCTTTCTTCGGGATACCGTAAAACTCAACGAATTCAAGATAGCCCTCACCAATAGGTTCCAGGCCTTTCAGGATCTACTCAATGGAGAGGAAGCAACATTGGAGAACAATTGGAAAGGGATTAAGGAGGCAATCACTTCAACATGTCAGGAGGTCCTTGGTCGCAAGAAGCACCATCACAAGGAATGGATCTCTGTTGGTACTCTTGCAAAAATTGAAGAAAGGAGGAACAAGAAGGCAGCAATCAACGCCAGCCAAACAAGAGCAGAGAAAGCTAAGGCGCAGGCTGAATACACAGAAACAAACGGGCAAGTGAAGGCGGAGCATCAGAGCTGACAAACGAAAATATGTGGAAGATCTAGCAATGACGGCGGAAAAGGCTGCAAGAGAAGGAAACTTGAGACAATTGTACGAAACAACAAAGAAGCTCGCCGGAAACTATCGTAAACCAGAACGACCAGTGAAAAGCAAGGAAGGGAAAATAATCAGCAACACTGACGAACAGCGAAATAGGTGGGTGGAGCACTTTAAGGAACTATTGAATCGACCAGCTCCACTGAACCCACCCAACATCGAAGCAGCATCCACGGACCTCCCAATTAATATTGGCGCACCCACGATTGAGGAGATCAGTATAGCCATCAGACAAATCAAGAGCGGCAAAGCAGCAGGACCAGACAACATTCCAGCAGAGGCAATGAAAGCAGATGTGGAAGCAACTGCGAAAATATTTCACATTCTCTTCAAGAAGATTTGGGATGAGGAACAAGTACCATCAGATTGGAAAGAAGGATACCTCATCAAAATACCAAAGAAAGGCGATCTCAGCAAGTGTGAAAACTACAGAGGCATCACTCTTCTTTCAATACCAGGCAAAGTCTTCAACAGAGTATTGTTAAACAGAATGAAGGACTTCGTAGACGCCCAACTTCGAGATCAACAGGCTGGATTTCGTAAGGATCGATCATGTACTGACCAAATTGCTACATTACGGATCATTGTGGAACAATCAATTGAATGGAACTCACCACTACATCAACTTCATCGACTACGAGAAAGCATTCGATAGCGTGGATAGGAAAACACTGTGGAGGCTTCTTCGACACTACGGTGTGCCTGAGAAAATAGTCAACATCATACGGAATTCTTATGATGGATTCAACTGCAAAATCGTACACGGAGGTCAGCTGACAGACTCTTTTGAGGTGAAGACCGGTGTCAGGCAAGGTTGCTTACTCTCACTCTTTCTCTTTCTCCTGGTCATCGACTGGATTATGAAGACGTCAACATATGGAGGGAAGCACGGTATCAACTGGACAGTTAGGACGCAGCTGGACGATCTGGACTTCGCAGATGACCTGGCTCTTCTATCGCACACTCAACAACAAATGCAAGAGAAGACGACCAGTGTAGCAGCAGCCTCTGCAGCAGTAGGTCTCAACATACATAAAGGAAAAAGCAAAATTCTCCGATGCAACACAGCATGCACCAACCAAATCACTTTTGATGGAGATACCTTGGAGGACATTAACACCTTCACATATCTTGGCAGCATCATCGACGAGAAAGGTGGACCCGATGCAGATGTGAGGGCGCGGATTGGCAAAGCAAGGGCTGCATTTCTACAGTTGAAAAATATCTGGAACTCCAAACAACTTTCAAACAAAACCGAAATCAGGATTTTCAATACAAATGTCAAGACAGTTCTACTGTATGGAGCGGAAACTTGGAGAACTACGAAAGCCATCATCCAGAAGATACAAGTGTTTATTAACAGTTGTCTACGCAAAATACTTCGTATTCGTTGGCCAGACACCATCAGCAACAACGAACTGTGGGAGAGAACAAGTCAGATTCCAATGGAGGAGGAAATCAGGAAGAAGCGGTGGAAGTGGATAGGACATACACTACGAAAAGCACCTAACTGCGTCACTAGACAAGCCCTCACATGGAACCCTCAAGGTAAAAGGAAAAGAGGAAGGCCAAGGAACACACTACGCCGAGAAATAGAGAAAGATATGAGAGGAATGAACAAACATTGGACAGAACTGGAGAGGGAAGCCCAGGACAGAGTTGGTTGGAGAAAACTGGTGGGCGGCCTATGCTCCATTGGGGGTAACAGGCGAAAGTAAGTAAGTAAGTAATAATTAGCTTAGATGAGCACACATACAATACTGTAATGATTGGATTTTCGGAGTATGTTGCTTACACTGGACGGTTTAATTGTAGAGCTTTTATGGTTTTCCTGAACAACGTCACCAGTACAAGTCTTAAGTAGGTAGGCTTTCACTACTGATCAACTCTACTTCATAAACGAATAACCTGAAGTTTATGTTGTCGATGACAGTGACACAGACAGACAATGAAAGCTTCACGATTTAATTGTCCAATTCACAGAACGAAGCTCCACCGAAATCATTCACGTAAGCAACAAATCTTCTGACATTGTCTGCCTCATCCATGAAAACAATTGCAAATTAAATTTATTTTTAAAATATCAACAAACACATGCAACAGAATTACAGGAAAGCAATAAACTTCACTAACCAACAGATAATTCCTCCAAAACTCTGTCTTGTAGTAAGATTAAACTATCCAGATCTAATTGTTCTGCCTATTATAAATGCAGCAAGGTGGTAAGTGCAAGAGGATTTTTAATGGTAGACATAGAGAGGGAGAGAGAAAAAAAAAGAAATGACTGTTAAATATAGAAGAATCTTTAATCCATAGAAATGTTGCTTTTTCATTTAGTAAAAAATATTTTTTCCAACAATTAACTGAATACTGAGAAGCAGGTAGCACTGGACAATTGATTTGTTCTAGCATGAGAATCTCCAGAAATGCGCTCTTATGAGCCCACTGGGGGTTGAACTGATCATCCTTAAACTATTGTGGTGTGTGCTACTTATACGAACGATATAAGTAGTATAAGAATGGACGTGAAAGAAGAAGAGGTCTCACGGTCACAAGAGGAAAACGGAAAGCAAACGGAGCAAAAACAAGAAATAAATAGAGCATCGACAGGAAGTAAAGGAAGCAACAGCAGGAATGGAAGAAGGCTGGAAAGTTGGAAGTCAGGACTCAAAGATGGTGTGCAAATAGAGTGTTCAGTGTGATGTTTTCGTCTTGTTGGGCAATTCCTCTTCCAATGTCCGGTTCCTCCGCAAATATAGCATTTATTATTTCTTTCACCCTTTATTCGTAACGCTGCCACCTCTCGTTGTAATTCTTCTATCTTCTTCACTACATCATCAGTCTGTATTTCACACCCCACCGAGGCGACTGTTGAGCTCATCAGTTGTCTTGTTACTTTCGAAAGCTCGGTGACGTCCATTGGTTGTGCCGCGTTCACCAGTCTCAACTGTTGGCCGACCTCTGCAGGCACACTTTCAATGAATTGCGAGGCTAGCAGCTGTGTCTGCGACTCTCCATCCAAATTCGGCATACCCCGGCGCAGCAATCTCGTCAACTCCACGGCCAGCACGAGTGGGTCGCCATCCACCGACAGTCGCGCCTCTCGGAACTTCTGCAGTGCGTGCTGCCTATCCGCTGGGCTGTCGAACTCCACCAGCAGCCTTTCCGTCACCACCTTCCAGTCAGCGTCCTCCATACTGTCGTACACCACCCTCGCCCTGCATCTTAGTATAGTTCCCAGCACCACCGCCTTCGCCCTCCGTTCCTTGACTCCGACCAGCTCTGCCACGGCCTCAAACTCCTTCAAGAAGCTCCTTACATCTCCGTCTTCAAACTCCCGAGGCCATGGTATCTTCATCCTGTGTAGAGGCAGCGACACCAATTGAGAAGACTGAGGCAGGCTCGATAGATTGTATTTGGCAAATTTACACTCTTAGTCAATTAAAAACGAAAACATCACATTGAACACTCTATTTGCACATCATCTTTGAGTCCTGACTTCCAACTTTCCAGCCTTCTTTCATTCCTGCTGTTGCTTCATTTACTTCCTGTCGGTGCTCCAGTTATTCCTTGCTTTTGCTCCATTTGCTTTCCGTTTTCCTCTTCTGACCGTGAGACTTCTTCTTTCACGTCCATTCTTATACTACTTATGTCGTTCGTATAAGTAGGACACACCACACTATTACTAATAATAATAACCGGCAATGCCTACTTTCAGAGTTTCAGTGAGAACCCGTGACAAGTGGAGTTCAACTATATAGAGTTTGACATTAGAAGACGGTTGTGTAATATAGGGAATTGATTGATGTTAGTTAAAGGTTAAGTGCTCAACATATGACCAAGAGTTTTCTGAGTTCGAACCCCCAGTGAATCATTTATCCGGTAAGTCGATAATGTAAACTATGTTGAAAGCTTGCATCTACATCTTTTATATAAGTTACATTATATCACCTTTATTATTGACTGATAATTGCGATAACTGTATAACTTAATAAATAGAATATGAACACATAGATATCAGATTCACTGGAATAACGATTGAATTCACTTAAACAACGCACCTGAAATCCATTTAATTAAGAAGACTGTCTTGATTACTCAGAAATAATTATATACGTTGTATATAAATATAAATATGGCTCTAATCGTCAGTCAGCTACCACTTAGAACTTCGTACGTACGTACATCAGTTCGCGTTGGCATACCACATTAGCACAGAGAGATTGAATGATCGATTCAAATCTCATAGTAGTAGAGGTAGCTAAAGTATTAGTGGTAATCAAAAAGATTACGGATCGAAGATATCATTCAAGAAGTATATCCCAGTGAAATAAATTTAAAAAGAAACTGTCTTGAGGAATTTAGAGGGTTATAAAATTTGAGTGAAGTCAATCGCAAAACAGCCCAACGTAAAAATAATGGGTTCAAAATGATTATCTATACAAAATATGTTTCAACTAAATGAGATACTAGACAAAGAAGGATGAACCGGGACTACTCATGAGTAATATAGTCCGTAAACGAGAATTTTACAATAAATAAATAAATAAATAAACTACATACTTCACTACCTTCAACCAAACTTTTTAAAAGTTCTCGTTTCTCTTGAAGAAGTAGTTGATCAGTTAAATTGTCTCGTTCTGAATTATGTATATTTCGTAAGTGATCAATAAAATGTGTACGTTTCAATTTTATTGATTCCATAAAACGCTTGTATTGTGAATAAACAATAATGAATGATAAAACATAATTATAATAAGAATTAAAAATGATATGAAAAGGTAGTTTTATTGTAGTAGCGTATCTAATGGACTAATTCTAGAAGCTATTATGTTTTGATAATTGCCTGTCCTTAGAATAGCTGTTAGTTAATTTGTAATTAATAATGAGTTATAGATTCATAAATCTACTGGTATGCTAATACTTTCAGTTATTTTCTGTTCATAACTTCACATTTTTCAACTTTACTATCATGGTTGATTATTGAAACCGAAAACGGTTTATAAATTAACAAGTGTTTATTGTACCACAAATAAACTTGATACTTTCAAATAAATTAAGCATACATCGATGGCACGGGATTCCAGAGTTCTAGCTAGGGGGAAGCCTGTTGTCCTATTTGACACAAGGTTCGAACATTAAAAGCTCCAACATGTAGCTTAGAGTGGGGTTTCAGGAGACCAGGAATAACGTTTAGTGAATTCGAATCATTTGTATTAGCGGTGCGGCGTGACAAAACAACACGAGAAGGGTGAGTCATGGAGATAAGAGAGATGTTAAGGGGTGAAGGAAGGATTTGATTAAAGCCAATTTGGTCTTGTGTGCTATTACGGGTATGAGGGCGAATATCACTTGAAATGGGAGGTCAATTTTTTGTTGGTCTTAACGACCTAGGAGCGTGACCGCAAAGTCCAAGGGACAACTGTTTGAGGCGGGTCACGCACGGCCTTTTTATGAAAAGTTTTTAAAATATTAGCTCCGCTCCTGTTTAAAAGACCTTACCGCCGGAGAAGGAAATCCATTTGGTAAGGTGAGGTGTGATATTTTATGGTCGACCTTTTCTAACCCTTCCTTCCTTGTGGGAAGGCAGCATTACTGCAGATGCTGGTTGTCCGAGGGAAACATCTTACTGATGCCACACCTCTCTGCAGTCAGCAGTACAACTTTGCCTTCAGACCTTGAGTAGCTGCTTTTAGTCTCATCGCTCTCAAATCGATCTGCTTGGCATGGTAGAACCTACAGGAACATATGCTCCGGCCGACGTGGGTCAGTTGGGTCGTCACGATAGGCAAGCCCAACTACCACGACAAGGTAGGAGCTATGGTCGGGAATAATAATGATAGTAAAATAACTATAATTTTGTTTGATATCCTAACGAGTAGAAAAATTTGTATTTTCAACGTTTCTTGATTGAATGCAAGTCACTTCTTCAGAGTCTATAAATCAAATGACTTTTGTTTTTATAGAACTTATTTAAGAATGGTTTTTGTCGAATGACAAATATTCAAATCCTGTATTTAATGGGTTGCAAAACTTATGATAGCTTAGAAAATAAAGATTAAAATATGACAATACACAGTGTTAAGATATTTTTACACTCCATTCAACTTCTGTGGTTTACAGTTAGTTCTTAGAAAAAAACTAGATTATTTACTAATTTCATAATGATCAAATGAAGTCTTGAGTATTATTCCTGTTTCAAATGTGATGTTCCTACAATGAAAGATTCCCATACACTTTCTGTTGAGGACGTTAGATCCCTAGAACGCACTTGGAACAGGTCCTAATTTTGGAGTTTTTTAAGTTCGCACGCATAAGTTGCTTAGTTGGTCTTCATCTTACATTTCCCACTTAGAAAATCCTTGACTATGATTGGTTGATGGATGATTTTAGTACGCTATTTTGTAGCTCTACCAATGACGTTTGTATCATGTATAAATAAACTCGATTTGTGTGCTTGTCAACCTCATATTTTCTGGGTGCTTGTAGAATACACCTTCTACGCCTTATGAAGACTTCTTGATATAGTTAGCCGGACCGAGGACAAACAAATTAGAATAGCCTATCGTGTCACTGCATCATTTACTTGCGCTCCGTTAATCGAATAAGGTGAACTCGTAATAGTTCCAAGCATATAAAATGACGAGTGACTGACTGGCAAAAGTCATTGACTTTGTTAGCATCAAGTATTTAACTATACAGAATAATAGTAATAATACCATCAGAAAAAATCATATAGATTGAAATGTTTGTTTTTATCATGGCTAGGAAAAACACAACTTACTTTGTGCAATAAATCTTTCCATTTATTCTGTTGATGTTGAAAATGTTTTGCATACAGTTCTTTGTGTCTGTTCATCATAGACCAGACGAAATTATATTATCACAGAATTCTCCAACACAATCAATAGGAAAGTCTGTAAAAAGAAAAGATGAATAGAGGTTGAACAGAATTTATTTCAGGTGCAAATTTATATAGTTGACTTCAAGCTTGTGAGACTAATTAGTTGTAGAAACAGAAGTGAAACGCCTTAACTAATGAACTGGCTACTGTTATAGTTATATCTTATTCCAGGTCGCATCATTAAAAAAATCTTTTAAAAGGTTAATTCAGTTATTCAGGAATGGTACAATCATAGAGAAACAGGTTGATAAGTACTAACACGTGAGACAGGATTTGAAAGTTGACATTTATATGATGTAAACTGTTATAATCGAACGAATATTGGAAACGTTGGAACTTCCGGTACTACTTTGATTGTATAATAAGTAGATAAGTGCATTTCTATATTCCTCTTATTGACTTGTTAAATCTTGCTATATATTTTACTATCTTTCAGTTTGCTCAACCCTTCACCACTTAAGGTATGATTGTGTTTAATGAAAGATTTCACACTTGGTGTATTGCGTGGTTAGGCATTTCAAGTATCCGACAGAATGAGTTTTGAGTTATAATTAAATTGAATAACAATATCTGGCTGTTACGATTTTAGACTCAATATCAGACAGTGAAGAAATTAGCCGATATCAACTCAAAGTTAACACAGTATGAGCGCTGAAGCGTAACTGGTAGAGTTTAGGCCGCTAGGTTATAAATTGAATAGTAGACGCGAGATAGAAAGGACTACGGTTGGGATTCCGATCGCTGAATCTAATACGTGACAGCGATTAGTGTTACAGGTCACGCATGGATAAATTGTAATCATACATAAAAACGGCACTAGTTCCTGGCAATAATACTCATTGAGAAAGCATATTCTATTATGACTGAATCAGTTATAACAATGACTAACTCAGTGGGCTAATTATTTTTACATCATACGATTACTGATCATTCAAATGAGGAGCTTGGAATCTTGAAAAGAACAAACCCAGAAGGGTTAGGTCAACATACTATGAAAAGTCAGTTTTCAATAATCTGTAGTTTTTGGGAATTATTTGAGTTTAAACTAATAGAACAATTTGAAGTCGACGTTACAAGCTCGTGTAATTTGTACTATTCAGTTTAACAAAGATAACATTTTGAGTTTGAAGGTCAATTCGACAGCAGTTTTAGTCAAACGATTCTGAGTTTAAGAATAAGAACAGAATACTTTTCGGCTTGAAAAAAAACGCACTAATTCTTACTATTTAACTTTGAGATTTGTATTTTCTGACCTTTTGAATTTATAATTTAGTTAGCATTGTTAACTAATGAACAGAATCTAGTTATCAATAAGTTTGAAAACTTAAAACAGTACTAAATCATAAACTGAAACCCTAATTAGTCAATATTTATAGGTTAGAGTTATTGTTCGAAAATTTCGAATTTTTTGGTTATACGTAACAGGATTAAATATGATTGATAGAAATTTTAGCAGCTACATAGAGAACTAAAGTATGGTACATAGTTGAATAAGTTCTTCCATTTTAATCAAAAAACTCAACCAACATTTTCTGAAATAACTAAAAACCAGTGATATTGTTTTTTTGGGGCAGAGTTATGGAGGTTTGTGTTTTTACACATTTGAAATCATCAATCAATCATTGTTAGACCACCATTAGAAACCTGGAAGCACTGGACGGCCGCTTCGTCCTGGTATGGGACTAATCAACAGTTCGCATCCACGACTCCTGCACCTTGCAGGATTCGAACCCGGGACCTTCGGTAATGTGTGCGGACGCCTAACTATCAGACCACTGGGCCGGCATCCAACGGTGTTGTTGTCTAACTCTGATTGATCTACGTATTTCGCACGACCTCATCCATTTGTCTTTGGTAGTTACTGCCTACACCCGACAGGGTTGAACTCCATTGGTCACGTCTTCTCAACTAGAACTCCGAGAATTTCCTCACGAAGCCAGTCACTAGTGAGCACTGTTACGATATTTTGGGGCAGAGTCTTGGAGGTTTGTGTTTTTACACATTTGAAATCATCATTGTTTTTAACTACACTCTATATGAAGTAATGGATCTAAGTTTTATCATAACTAAAATCCTGGAAGCACTATACAAAGGTTTCGTCTTTATATGAAACTTTTCAATGGTGCGCATCTACGAATCGAATTCAGGACCTTCGGTCTCGCTAGCGAATGCCTAACCTCTAAACAGCGAACTGGCACAACCGTATCAATGTTTGACATTAATCAACCCACGATATTGAGAGACCACTTACCATTGTTTTCGGTGGGTAATTGCCTCACATTTGAAACAGTTAGATTCTACTGGTCACAGCGTTTCATTAGAATTTTGGGAATTTCCTGTGGTCCAGAGGTTAAGCATTCGCTCGCAAGACAGGCAGTTCAGTATTAGATTCCCAAGTGTGGATTGTTGAGGTGTCCCATACTAGAACGAGACAGCTTTCCACTACTTCCATGTTTTTTTTTAGTGAGAT